ATATTTTCTTAAATTTACAAAGTTAATTCTACATTAAAATGATAGAACATAAAAAAAATATTCTGAAATAACGGCAAGAATTTTATAATTAGCAATTTATAATTGTTGAAATTTTAGAATTGGAAAAAGGAGAGAGTCTGTTTCTCACAACGATAATTAACCAAACGCTATAAGAAAATATAAATAAGTTACTCGAAACATAAAAGCCGTATATTCGTATTATATTATGACTTATCGTATCCGATTATCTATCTAATGGTAATTAACCGCGCTCATTATGAGATAACGTACTTTATTCGAGTATCTTTATTACGAGCGAGATATATATCGCGCGCGTGAGGTATATCGAAACAAAACAAAAATTGCAAGAAAAATGTACAAACGAACGTCTGCGAAAGGCTCTACTCGTTTGAAATGTCGATATTTAATATATTGCGGCATAATATTACAACATTAAGAATATGAAATGTGTGTTATATATTGTTTTTACTGTAAAATGATACCGTAACAAGATATTAGTTTAGCGTTACGGTTTTTGTTTTGTTTTTTGTAATTTATTTTGATTCGATTGTATTGTCAAATCATGACCTACGCTCCTCGATATACAACATTCATTTTATCCTTCATCCTGCTTTCTGCTTGATTGCTTTTCTTTTTTTTTTTTTTTGTTAATATCTTCTTGCTGTTATTGTTAATAGGATCAAAAAGATAATTGAGATCCCAGGGTTAATGAAATAATGAAGATTTTTCACCCCGATAAGATCAATAGCTTCTATTTATTACATTGTATCGATTAAACTTTCTTCCCCACTTCAAGTTGAAGTAATTATCTTCATAATCTCACAAAAATTCGCGTTGAAAAATACGATGAGAGAGAGAGAGAGAGAGAGATGTTTAAAAATTTTATACAATATAAATTCGCTTTTATCTCTCGAGCGCGCAGAAAGCGCAATGAAGCGTTTGCTTCTTCGTTATATCTTATTCCCTCGTTTCCTTTTGTCCCTTCGCGTCCCAGGTCTTGTTTATCGAGAGACCGCCGCGCCGACAGCCGAAAGTCTCCGATCGACAATCCGACCGAGAGAGGAACGATCCTGCTGTTCCTGTTTCTGCGGTTTGCGCGCACCCGGGATACTGGGTGTGTACGCTCGGAATGCGTTGAAACATTGCGGCCACGAGAGCTACGCTGGATTAAATCTTGATGCATTGCCGTTATCCACGCGTGAATTTTTGCGCTCGTGCATTAAAGTTCCCGGCGAAAAAGTTATCAATTTATTGCGCGCGCTGCGTCGATACGCGATAGCGCTTGCGCGCAACCCTCCCGGCGAATTATTAATTGCCGGCCCGATCGCAATTGTTGTTCCAAACGAGTTCCCGCGTCCCCTTGTGGTTGTTCACGTTGTATAACCACACTTATCGCGATCGGCTGCCACGGTGTCGTTGGATGTATCTTAAAAGCGCGGTTATATACACGTACGCAACGCCGGCGATAACTCATAAATCAAAGTCCTTTTATTTTTCTTTGTGCGCGTCGGCACTTATTCAGTTCTCCTCGCAAATGGTTTTGTTCAAAAGTTTGCTGTACAAATTGTCGCGTATTAAAACACTTTGTATAACACTTCCAAGAGTATTGTAAGACCTTAAAGCGCAAGTTTAATCGAGAGACTGAGAACCACTGGCATATGCGACATTTCTACATACCCAGCAATTTTTGTCAGATCACGTTCGAGCGAAATCGGCATGTGCGTTTCGTTTTATCCGATCGACTTCGTGGTATGAGCAACTAATGTACCAATCGACTATTGTTTGAGTTGCGTTTACGTGATGTCATCTTGTATGTTAATTCAAGTCTGTTACATTCACGCTTCGCATTTTTTATGAAAGAAAAGACCCGGCATGGACGGAGGTTGAACAACGCGAAGGTTGCGTCCGAGCTGAGCTGTTTGGCCGTTGAACGAATAATAATTGGCGCGCGCACGTGATATTTATAATGGAATATCCTTCAGATGGAGAAGGATAAGAGTCCAGTTTAACAGGCGGAACTGATGTTTCCGTGCCGAACGTGGCGCGCCGCTACACCGACTCTAAACTTTATGTAACCGTGCATAATGCACATTATTGCATTAAATTATTTATTCCCCGTTGAGCAAATGTTTATCGTCTGTAATACGGATAATACTGCGGGAAGTCCTCGCGCGCATACGTTTCCCCAATTAAATGTCGCACAATAGCAAATTGCGCGACATTTAATTTTATTTCCGCGAACGGGTTGCGAGTGTTTTTTGAGCGCACGGTGTTGCTGCTTTCGAGGCGCGTTAGAGTGTTAATATTAATGCGAATATCGGATTCAGATTTTATTTTGAATACCTTGTTGCGTTCTGCAATGTTACCTTACGAGTTGAACAACAGCGACATTCGAGAAGATAAGCAAATTTACAAACTCACCTACAAAATGAAGATGTGCTTAAAAAGAGTAACCCTTTATTGTATACCTAACCATTTATACTGTACACATATTCTACGTACACTATATTTTCCCACTTATTATTTAACATTGAAAAACAAATGATTTTTAATCTAATCCTGTAAGTGTTTTTTAAGTACGTATACTGTAAACCCTGAACATTTATGTCTGACGCGATTTTTTTATTGGTTGAAACGTTGCAAACCGTAAAACTTCATGGGAGTTTATTCTATATTAAGGAAATGACATTAGTTTTTTGATATCTTTTTTTAGTTTTTGAAAATTTTTCTACTAAATAATTAATAAATATCTCATCTTCAAGAATCGCTCGAACACCAATGTCAGAGATTGACAGGATTAGGGTTAATTATGCATCTAAATTACTGTTTTCTAAAGTAGAAATGAATTGCTTTGAATAAAATTGAGAGAGAGGTTTGAGATTTTAAATTAAGTAAAATTAAGATTAGAGATGACATAAATTCTGTGCAAATTATCGAGAGAAGTAAAATAATAGCCAAGATATTACGTATAAGTAACACTTACTATACGTAGATATAGGAAGATACATATCTTGTACAATAATCTGATCGGTATCGCGCGCGCGCGGTGTATCGGTGTCGTCCATTCGCTACGGCTGTACTGGCTTTCCGTGCGCGCATGGTGATATGACTTACACATGATATTAAAACATGAGTTGAAAGATATTTCTTTACGGAAACCCGCCACGCGCACTTCAAGACATCGCATAACAGTCGTACAATTTTCTCCCAGAGACGAACGAGCGCCGATCGAGTGTAACAACGAACGCTATTAAATTATACGCGCATAATGTCATACGTTGTGCGACCGCCACGGGATATGGCTCTGGCAAGGCCTTGCCCAACGGCGACCACGATCCTCCCCGCTATCGTATACCTGTCATCGCACACGTAGACAAAGCATCCGCCACTAATCGAGGACCGCAGAGCCGCCTTTCTTCTTCGGCCGAGCAGCGCTCGAAAGACCACGAACGAAACACTAACGACTGCTGCGAGAGATTCTTCTTCCTCGAATAACGTCGGAGCATTTAGGGACTCGTCACGAGTCCTTATTCGACGCGGCTACGTGCGAACCTTCGCCTAGCAAATTTCGGTTCGTTGCCAGAGGCACTAAAATTAAATTTATATCATTTTGATGTTACGTAATCGCGAGAAATAGAATAATATGTTAATTTTAAAACAGAAAATGTTAATGCTACGAAGTTTTTTTTCGACACATTTAAAAAATGAATGAATATTGCATGTACTTTTATTATTTATGTAATAAAAAATACTTTTGATAACTTAATAACAATCTGTTTTATAATTATCTGTGAAAGAAGTTTAATTTGTTAAACAACAAATGTGTTTTGATTTCAAACTTAACGTCAAATATTTTTGTTATATTATCGTTGTTCAATAATTTGGAAATATCGCGTGAGATACAACCTACAAACACGTCTTGCTTCTAATTATACGCGTGTAAAAATAACGACGAGATAGCAATACGCTGTCGTCACTTTCGTTGCGCCACAGGAGTCGTATTCAGATTCAGTCGGGGATGCATATCAATTCGAGATTAATATCAAGACCGTGTCATGGATACGCGTCTCATCGCGCGTTCCTGACGGCACAAACGCGTTGTTCGCGTCACGAAGCGGTCCGACCGCATGAAATTGAAAGTTAGCGTGGGCCGATAGCTACCGCCCAGACCGGTCCAAGTTTACTCGTACATTAAGTCCGTGATCCGGCCTGGAGGAAATATCATTGGCCTGCGTTCGTCGAGTGCTCCTTAGCGGGATAGTGACGGGGGTGGAGATCGCTCCGAGTCTTGTACAGTCCGATATCACGAAAATATCGTATCTACGCGCCCCGGCGCGTTACAAAGAATCCAGATATATATATATATATATATATATATATATATATATATATATACTTGTCTTGTTTCGCGGTCGATACCACTACGTGTCCCGCGGTAAAGGGAAAATTCTCGCGACTTTTGCAAAAACAGGCGAGAGTTAAGAGACCCCGGGACTAAATGTCGCGTTGCAAATGGAATTTCTCGACAGTAAAAATTCCAACGGGCAAATTCCAACAAGTCCTGAAAGTCTTTGCGCACTGTAAGTGTATAGTATACGGTCTCGCTCGAGACTGTCCGTCGGCGCGATATATTTTTATGCTCAGCTTGACACATTAAGACTCCGAGATCGTCGTTTTTCGAATCGGCGTTTATTATAGTTAACGACCGATGATCTGGAACGAGACAGACAGTCGCCGAGTCAGTTTAACTGACAGTTGTTGGCGCAACCTGACCCTGATTTAAATATTTACGAAGGCAGAAAGAGAGCGTTTTCCCTTCTCTTCTCAAAGATTCTCGAGCGCGAGAGATCGTTAACGCGTGAGATGACGCGTCGAGGAAATTCCACCGAGTGGCCGTGACGAGGTTGCTCTAGAATGCGATAATTGACGCCGTTCGGTGCTCACCGAAGTTTCTTATTCCCGTTCATGTCTGATTGCAGGTCGCCGGACAATTATTAGACACAGAGTTCCAGCCGACGGTGACGGCGACGTGCAAGGGCGGCTACATGACGATCCGCGTCAACCTCAACCAGAGTTTCGTGGGCGCGGTACACGCGCGGGATCATCGGACCCCACAGTGCATGGTGTCGGGCAATGGCAGCACGCACGCCACCCTGGGCATCAATCTGTTCGCGGCGCAGGATAGTCCGGAGTACTGCGGAGTCCTTGTGAACAACGTGAGTCTTCTGTGATTATGGAAATCGCGATGCTTCAAGGGCAGCGGAATCGCGTAGCAAGAAGTAGCAGCGTCTTGGGTTTCTTGACCTCGAGTCGAGAATTAAGCAAGGAATATTTCAAACGTTTAGTTGTGAAAAAAAACTAAAGAGAAAAAAGCGTTTTCAAACAAATATTGAACAACTTGAGAGAAATTAAAAAAAAAAAAAAAAAAAATTACTAGCTAAATTTAAATTCATATTCTTCTGGTTTTTTTTTGCGCCTCTCGTTTCTTTCTCTTTCTGATGATACCTGTAATCAGCACTCATAAAAAGAACTTTTTATGATCGTTGTTGCCAGTCACGGTATATCCTGAGACCGATATTACGCTTTGACATAAGGATTGAGCGACGTAGAATTGGTTGTCATTCATCGCCAAGTAAAATATAGAATCTGTGTGGCTAATTAGTACCTACGTGACAACCTACTTGTTCTATGACAAGTGTAAAAGTGTAAGACTTAAGAACACATCACATAAAATTGATGGTTGTTCGAGTAGAAAATAGTGCAACTCATTACACACGAGTATCGTGTTTGTAGACAAAATGACATTCCTGCTGCTTCGGGACGCAACGTCTCGCAACGTTTCGCGTACGTGCGCGGACATTTGGAGAAATTAGTATTCGCGGTGATTTACGCGAAGGAAGTTCTGGAAAATTAGTTTTTTTTTTTCAAAAAGTCAACTAATTTACATTCTCCTCGGCCGCCGCGGAGACGTGTTCTGTACGGAATAAACGTGAGAATTCATCATACATGGAAATTATTGTACGATTTGCATTTGAATCCGTTTCCCTTTCCGTCGAGGAATTTTGCTTTGCAAGTACAACCTTCTCTAAGGCCGCCAGAGACTTAAAGATTTCTCAGTACAATTGCGTCTGTACACGCATAATTACGCTACTGCAAGAATTCTCATAAATTAAATTTCTCACGTCTTTCTATTTATAAAACGAAATCTTACGTAAAAAAAAAAAAAAAAAAAAAACAAGATATCTTACATCTTCTCCTATATTAAATCCTATATTAAAAAAGGCATGTGTACCAAGAAGTGCGCGTTTGGAGTCAAATATATCGCACCTATTGTTGCCTCTTTTCCGCGTTGCCGATTGGTTGGTTGCTTGATCGAGTCGAATCGAATCGGTAAGATCGAGAGAGTAAATAATAAAAGCGATTTTGAGACAGAGTTCGTCGTATATGTAGAGAAAATTAAAAACGTAACTAAAATCACGTGACAGGAAAGAGTAGAAAAACAACACGTGAAAATAACGTAACTGTAATTTATATTATATATAACATTAAATAATACATATTATACATATAATTTATTATATATTTATAATATTATACTTTATATTGTATTATATGTATTATATACATATTACAGAGTAATGTCACTGACCTCAGCCGCGCGGCCTTGGCGGGGTCACTGACCTCGGCCGCGCGACCACGGCGGGGTCACTGACCTCGGCCGCGCGACCACGGCGAGGTCAATGACCTCGGTCGCGCGACTGCGGTGAAGTCACTGACCTCGGCCGCGCTACCGCGGCGGTGTTACTGACTTCGGTCACGTGATTACGGTATATATATATATACATATTTGCGTATGTGTGTGTATTATATATAGATATAGAATATTACATATAATATATATAATATTCTCTTTTTTACCCTTTTCCCTGACTTTAGTCACGTGTTGTTTTTCCACTCCTCCCTCTCACTATTTTTTGAGTTTGACTTTTATGCGTTTTTTTCTGATATTTCTCATATGTGTATTATATGGTTTGTAAGACGTATATACTAGCTGTCATTGCGGTTGTGTTCACTGACCAACACGTTAAAATAAAAATAATAATAGCGTGCGCGTAGCGCGTTCCTGTGTTGTGCTTGTATAAAAAAAAAAAAAAGAACATAGCGGCTCGTCAAGTTTCAATTCGTGACATTCTATTCATCTCTTTGTACTCTAAGCCAGCGAGATTTTTTGATGATGTGTTGCAGCACACGGAAGAACGTTCCATTCCTATCGCTGTTAGGATACACAAGACTCTGGAGCTGGCGGATGACAAGTTTTATGTCATTACGTGCGGAAAGGCGGGCTTTAAAAATGCCAAGTAAGAATTAATGATATTCCTATAATTTATGTCAATTTGCCAAAATGACAGCGTAATGCATACTAATGGGCGCGTTTAGATCGATAATATTCACAGCACCTTCATAAATAACCAGCGGATTCTGCCAAACGACGGAGAGATAGACGTAACTCGCGTCGCGGCAAGCGAATTGACACGCGCGAAGCTCAAACATTATCTAAACGGGAAATATCATTTCCGTGATTCCTAATCGGTCATTAGCAGACGTGAATTTTCTAATCGGTCGGCTGATATTTGCCATTCGATAGTGTATTTCAACTAAGTGTGTGTTTCCGCTTTCACGACGCGCTGATTGCCCGAGGAGATAATTGAATTTATTGAGGTGTCAATATCTTGCTCGATCGACATCGAATACCGTCCGTTCAGGCGCAATTAAATATATTTTCTTGCGTGCGTGCGGATACCAGTATATTGCTATTTTTAGAGATAAATTAAATTGCTCGTTACAACTTAACACGGTATTTAGATTATTCGACAATCTGCGCGGACAATAATAGGATTCAATTAGATCCAGGAAATTGTGTCGAGAAATTAGATAAACGGAGCAACGCATTGGCAATTAACATGCGGCGTAACGCCTCGACCGCGATGTGTACCGTAAATCATTTTCTCATTTCGTGACACAAAAATGCGAACAGACGATTGGTATGCAACTGACGTTCGATGATACGACGCAAATGATAATTACATTCCTTGTCGGAATAACGTTACACACGTACGTACTTTCCGAATAAATTCTGTACTCGATCAAGCGATTTAACAGTTCAAGCATGCTGACCTGTTCGCGATTTTTTTTCTTACGCGCAATAATGTCCTGACACATCGATTGACACGTTTTCTTCGCGCTCGTTCACTCCGATCGCAGCTTCGATTAAGCTTGCGTCATCACGACGATTCTAATAATAATAAAATGTATTGCGAGACTCACACACGAGGAAATTTCTGTTTTCACAATACGACGCTTTTTGCATAGAAATGAAACTTCGCTGGTCTCGTTGCGCCTCTTGGACGGAGGTGTCAGAGTGCAAGAAGCTATATACGGTCACAACTACACTCTGCGCGCTGAGATTTCACGCCCAGACGGTTCGTATTTTATACCCTCCATTTCGTCGTTTGCCTTTACGCTCAGTCGATGCAAAGACTCCGTTAGACTTCTTCTACTTCTTTGTGAGATCTTTCGCTCGACGCATTGTTTCGTGGAACGTTTATAATTTGTAGGAATGTACGGGATTCGGGTGAAAAATTGCTTCGCGTTCAACAAACTCAACTCCAGCGTGCAGCTCATCGACGACAAAGGGTAAGCGCGTGATACATAAGTATATTTTTTGCGTCAAAACTTTAAACTTTAAATGTGTCACTCAAAATTTTGTGCGTTAACTCAGACGAGTATAGTTTTATAATTAAGTGACATTGTCTGATGACAAGAAATTTTTTAATTATACTAATGCGTTAATTATATTAATATGTATAAATTATTTATTAATATAATATATATAATATATATTATTAATAATATATGTATTCATATATATATTGATATTTATTATATTAGTTATATATCGACGTTTACATATAGGATTATTCTGCGACCTGTGCAAATAAGTACATTATGTACAGAACGATATAATTATTACGTTTTCGTTATTTTTTGTGTAATATAATTAATGAATTTCTCGTCATTGGATGAGATAAAAATCTTACATGAGACAAACCGTTTGTCTCGTCTCGATCTTAACGAACGGAGTATTTTCATTAAAACTTGAAACCGAGATCTTAGCTGCGCAAAACTCGAGCTTTTTCGTTTACTCTTTATAAGTTTTCTCTTTTGTCTCAAAGCAACTTTACAACTTTTGCAAATAGCAAGAGGTTGAGTCAAGAGAAGTTTAAATTGGTCTCAACTATATTGTAATTGTTAGGATCAACAGACCGATGCGCATTTGCAAACATTAAACATCGTAGCGTTGTTTTAATCAATCGAAATAATTTAATCTTGGTTAATAATTGTTATTCTCTTTCTCTGTTTTGTTTTTTAATCACAAAGATGTCCTGTGAAAGTTCGAATGACGAAATTCGTGTACGATCGAAGCACCGGTATAGCGGATGCCACATTGTTCTCCATGTTCCGGTTTCCTGACAGTTCAGAGGTGCATTTCCAATGCGACATCGCCGTGTGTAGAGGTAAACTGATCCGTTGAATGATTTCCCATTAGCATCTCGTCACTAAATGTAGGTTATAAAGTGACAGTTCCGCTTTTACAGCTCGTTGTTGCGTTGCGATAAATTTCCCGTTTGTTTTACGAGAGGGAAGGGATTTATTTTCACGCCCCGAATACTAAACATTACAATCTTTTCACAATAAAAAAAAAAACCTAGCAATTAACTTTTCAATAATACTTAAAATGTTAATATTTAGTCTGCTTTCGAATTTTTACATTTTATTTTTTTTCACGAAACGCGCGATAAATTTTCAAATCACGTCTCTCGACCAACAATGTATAAGAAAATTCGATCGCGTTGAAACAAAGGTTTTCTTTGTTACGAGTAATTATAATAATGAAGCAAAATGTGCACATGTTTAGGAAGCTGCGGTATTCCTGTATGCGAAGGAGATAAAGAGGAACTGATAAAGGGTGGCTCTTCCACTAACGGACAAAGTGTTAGTAGCGAAGAAGGAGTGCTGCTTGCTGGAACGAGCGTTTTTGTTCTCCAACCAGGCGAGAAACGAGGTAAGTTATCCTCGAATTAATTCTGATTAGTTCTACAGAGTTTTTTTTATAATTTTTCACGTGTTAGAAAAAGTAAACAAAATATTGTTCTCAGTAAATAGAAAAATGTTCTCTCTTTCTTTTTCTGTCAAATTTTCGTTTATCTTTGTTTAAAAAAAACGTACAAATAGAATCATTAAAGCGCGTCAAAAACTCTCGCTCTTTTTTAATCAAAACCCTAATTATAGCCGAGAGAATTAATAATCTGTAATAAAGAGATTAATAAAAAATAAATGAATATGTTACATCCGAAGAAGCTCGCGTCGCGATCTTGTTTGATATTTTAACATAAAAAATTTGCATTCATGTCGTAAATGCGTGCGGGCTTATCTTTTCTTCCCTTATTGCTCTTCCCCGTCTCATTTACGTCTTCCTCGCGCACGTCTCTCTTCACGTCATTCTGACCTGCATTTGGATGTCTCTTTGACACGCAATCTATCCAGTACCTGTCATCAAATTATGCCGTGTACTCACGCAGATTGACATAAGTGATCTTATTTCGCTTATCACATTTGATGCTTCAGTTAGATTTTTTTTCACCTAGTACCTAGCACGCAGTCCCGCATTATAATTTTCAATACTATTTTACGACTGGTGCCGTCAGCAAAATATGTTTGCAAAATTAAATTGTAAAATCAGTTACTGCAATTTGATGAAGCAAAACACATTTATATTATTACTTTTACTTTATTACTTTGTTATTACTTTTCTAAAGAGATTCCAAAGAAAATAAAAAATTTCTAATTTTTTTTCATCAATAAGATTATTACTACTTTAAAAGTAGAATAATCTGATCAATAACCAAAAATCTATTATTTAAAAAATATTTAAACTTATATTAATACTTATTATATATTGAATACTTATATTAATACTTATTATTGAAAAATACTTAAATTATTAATTTGTATTTCAGGCTTTTAATTATTTTTTCTAACTTTGGCAAAGCACTTTTTAAATTTTCTTTTATTAAACTATGTTGTTTAATGTAACCCAATTGGTTAGACACGATAAAACATTACATTACAAAATACGTAAAGTTCTTGCTGTTATATAACGCAACAAGTATTACCGCAATGTGAGAACTACATTTGTCGTTTCTTCATTTGCAGTTGTACAAACATTGTACGACGACGGCGGCGTGCATCCGCTGTGGCTGCTGTGGTTGGCGGTGGCTCTCGGAATATTATTCCTCATCATGCTCATTATCAACATATTCCTGTGTTCGGCGATGACCTGCAGCTGCACCCGTACCGACATCATCGAGAAGGAACCGTCGATCATCGAGGATTATGATCCGTACCGCAGCTGGCACGGTTCTCAATACGGGTCGAGGTTTGACTTAATAACAACTTTAAACCGAATCGCGTGACTCGCCGACAAAGCTTCTCTATTAATTGCGTCAATAATATATGATTACGCGTGTATTAACCGCGCTCGATTCAACGTACGACTTCAACTTTCGATCCGTACGACTCGGATCGATCATTGATAAGCTAATGTATCGCTGTCAGATTAAATGCAATGCGGTATAATTGTTATATATACTTTTTCTTCATAACTTTGTTCGACGATTTGAGATCACGCTAGAGAAGACTACTATCTCACTATCAAAGTGTTCGCTCTCTCTTTCTCTCTGACTTTCTAAAGTGAAGCCGTATTTAAACACAGGCAGAGTCACGATGATGGTCACAATTAATATCGCGGATTGCATATCATGACGCATGCGATGGCGTGTCTTGAACGAGATCTTTCTTCTGTGTTCAGGTATTCGTTAAACGGAAAGCAGGGCTACGCCTCCGGGGGATCTACCATGAATTCCACGAGGTCGATATCGACGAATAGCGATCACTACGCGATAGTGCACTCCCGACCAGGAAGCAGATATTCCGGTCCGGGACAGAAGCATCATCATCATCACAGAGGACCGCCGTCAAACATCGGTTCACACTATTCCGGGAAGTAACGTTCCCGTTAGCTTCGTTTATCAAAAACTAGAACTCTATTGTCTCTTCGTTAACGTTACTTCTTTATTAAAATTTTTTTTTTTTGTAAGGCATTATCTTCGCACGACACAGTCACTCGACTCAAACTCGCCGGTTCAATCCTAAAATCAAAGTGTAATGTTAGAGAGCATTGTGTAATATCGACGATTCGATGTATTAACATTTCCTTGATCGCATTATTTCAGAGATTCTGTTATTTACGATCGAATCGATCGATGATTGATTATTGGCGCTCGCCACGCACGTTGCGATGAATACAAATGATTGAGAAATACGGGGTGCGCAATATATTTCAAGGAAATGTTAAATAATATTCGATTTTTAGTTTTAGTGCTATTTTATATTCTGATGACAAATATTTGAAATTTTCCTCGCGAGAAAATAAAATTTGCGTAACGTCAAGAGTAATTACGTGCGTTTCACCGTGTTTCTCACACAGCAAACTTCCTTTGAAAGATTTTTCTTCTTTCTGCACTTGTTAATTATCGACAATAACAGTAACCGTACAGCAACGTGATTCGAAAAATGCGGACCAAGTATGTATGTTGTTAAGATAAAATTGTTTACGAATAATAAGCATGCGCGCATACATAAAACACTATGCATCTACATATCGGTATTTTTTTATACGTAGTGTTATCATTCGTGAAAAACAGTTTCGTGTTAGACTGCGTATGTATCATAATATAATAGTCATAAGCATAAGCACTAGCATTTACAAAAACTTGCGCAATATTGATCTTAAGATATATATTAGTTAAAAATGCTTTTTGTACATAAAACCATTAATCTAAAAAAACGTACGTGTGTTCTTTTTTTTTTATTTCCGTCGACAAACAATTTCCTTTGAAACCTCCAGATATATTGTACAGAAATATTGTTACGTTAAAGTAAATAACACGTAGCGCGAATAGCAAAACAATATTAGCAGTTTCTTCTTGTCAATTTGTCACACTTTATTTATTTTACAAATACTTTTTGTTTCTTTTACTTTAGAAGAATGAAACTTCGTGATTTTTTACGAACGTGTTTTGCAGGTTTACGTTCTCAGAGTAAACTGCTGTTCATTACGTATTTCAGATGTTTGTAATCACGTAATTAACTAGTGCTACGTAGTCACCTGCAATTTGATTTAATTTTTTTTCAAAAGTCAACGGCCGTAATAGTCATATAATTGCACAACATTATAATTTCTGCGGTGATTCTTGTAACAATATTATTACACGTATATCCTGAGAAGAGAGCGCACTCTCAAATGACAATCATTAACGTTAATAACTATAATTTCTATTAGAAATTTTCTTATTTTTGCAATTTCATTTTTTCAGAAATATTGTCTTTTATGCTTGAATATCTTCTCTCTCTCTTTCTCTCTCTCTCTCTCTCTCTCTCTTTCTCTTCCTCTCTCTTTCTCTCTCGTTTCACAATCTTCTAACTTACCATCTCATCTTAAGTGAGCGGAATATGACTACACGGGAGTCATCACATCTTTGTGAAACATAGTCATTACTCTCACATTATACGTAGATGGTTGAAGGTTATCTCTCACAGAAGAGCGCTCAAAGTTTTTTCATAAAAAAATCTAGGACACAGTTACTTAAAGTTAATACTAAAACATAGTTACTTAACGTTGTAAGAAAGCACTGTGCTAAAAAGCAAGGTAATATATCCATAATGAAAATAATAAATATTATGTATTTTAAAAACGATTTTTATTATTAAAAATACATTTTAGAATAAAACACGACTGAGTAGCTCGCGCAGCAGTAGACTTACATATGCCTACGCAGCGTACATGAACGCAGCTCTCTCGCTCTTAAATATTCTCTTTATAAAAAAAAAAAAAAACACGAAAACTCTCTCCTTATCTGCTTATAAATTGGTAACTGCCGATGTGTGTATGAGTTTGGTTATAGTGATTACATGAATAATTACACAAAGGAGGAGAAACGACATTATACTAGCTACAAAAATACTGAAAAATCTTCAGTGTTACGATATTTACAACAATTGATGTACTTGGTTGAAGAGTCGATGAAAGTAATAATAAAATAAAATTTTCTTTGTGTGAAACAAAAGTGTCTTACAGTTTTGGTAAAAGTAGAGATTTTCAAGATTCCAGGCAGCTAAACTCTTTTTGTCTTCTTGTGACAGAAACAATTTTCGATAAAAAGAAAAATTGTAAAAAACACAAAAAACTTTTGCGAAATTCTTTGCGACAAATATATTTCAAAAGTTTTGCAAGACCCAAGAGAGAAGTATAGACATTTATAAGAAATAAATGTTGGCTTTATGAATTATTTATACGCGAATGAATTATTTAGCTGTCTGCAAAAAGCTAAGTTTTCGTACTTTGCGATATATTTAAAATGTAATGAGAAAATGTGAAAATGATGCAACGTTGATCAAAAGGGGACTACTTTTGATATTTTCAAATAATATAAATAAAGCACATATTACTTTTACATGATTTCACAATAAGAACTCATATTTAGAATTTCGCAAAATAATGCGAATATCTCTGTTGTCTGATGAATTAGCTAGAGTTGTAGTACCATTTTTATCACTCGCGAATGATATGAGTCATGATTGATCAACGACGATGAAATCGTAATTTTTTCGCTTGGAGCTATTGAATCCCAGATTTCCCCGTGAGGAAACGCAGGACTCGACGTGCTCGTGCTATAATTAATTAAACGACAGGTACGTTCTTCATGTAAACTATTCTTAATACATGTAGAGAAAGTAGTAAAAAAAAAAAAAACAGCGTATCTTTGCTATCCCACAAAATCGTTATTCATGTCTGCTTAATTGGCTTAATAAACCGTGTTACAGATCTCCGAAGTTGAACGTCGTAGACTGTTTCGCAATTGGATGTATCGCGAAACAAAAAAAATCAAACGATCAACTCAGAAGAGCAAATGTTTAATAATAATAATATTCAACGGCTCGATGCAAAAAATGCAATTTGTATATAAAAATGTTGTTATATTAAGAATAATAATCTTTTATTATTTTATTATTTTAAATTAATAAAAAAGCAACAAATCGGTTTGATATACGTGTATGTGTGCGCATTATCTTCTCTTGAAAATACGCACACACACACACATTAGTTAAGAAATGTAATATTTTGCATAAATTTTGCACTAAGCCGTTGAATTTTATGTTCATTAGACAATTTCACTATTATATTTTACTGAGTGTTTCGTGTTTTATTGATCCCGACATCGTTATCGAGCAATATGTAGAAGAAGTTTATCTACAGAAGTGTAACGGCACGACGCACGTATATGCGTGGCGATTTCGATTTCTCGTGTTTAATGTATGTATATACCATGTATCTCTGACGACCAAATGATTTAACTGGTAATTGTGAGTTGCGTGTATAAACGTATATAGTATATTCCATACAAAATGGAGGCACCATGAGTGAACGTACATCTATTGTTGCGCTGTGCATAACAGCGTGATATATCAACGGTAATGTCAGCCTGTACTTGAGTGCTTTTGACAGATGGAATTTAGTAGACAGGCGGAGTTTAAAAGTTAAAAGCACATTAAAAATAAAAAAATAAATAGCATGTTAGTGAAGTATATCTTTAAAGTGTATAATCTGATGTAATTGTGAAAAAAATACGATGATGATTTATATGTACTAAAAAGAGCACAATTGCAATTTTGCGACATTTTTATGTTTGAACTGTGAGACTTGACTTAACGCGCTGATTTTATTCGGATATTTTTTTTTTGTTTTTTTGTTTTAATCGATTTAATGTAACGTAGGCTGACGGAACTACGGAACAGAGAAACGAAATGCGCGAGTTATTTGCGGCACATCGCGAATTTGTCCCCTAAATAAAAAAGGCTGTCTCTCTGAAGCCTGGATCTGTTGAGAGAAATTCGAGGCCATCTGTGCCATCGCAATTAAGCGCATCATTCGTGCGCTTTTAGCGAGTTTTTATATCTTCTGTGGCTCCTGAAAATAAAGTAAAAAATAAAGCGTTTGACGCAAATATATCGCAAAACCATTAAATAAAAAAATTACATCTTGAAAAAAATAAATATTTAAAAAAACTGCGTATTAATAGAGCAATTTAAATTTGTTATATCAATTGTTATATCAATTTAAATAAATATATCTTTTCTGCATTAAGAAAGCATTATTTTTTATGTACACAGGCGTATATTTTTTTTAAGTCGTCTAATTATAACGAAACTTTAAATAATTTCGAATGTTCGCGAATTTTACAGTCGTACAGATCCAGCCTGATAGAAGGGCGTTACCTTATATAATAATGGACTATCGTTTTGAATCACCGTTCGTTCGAAAAAAAAAAATTTCCGACGACCCCTTCGTTACGTTATGTATCCCATTACTCCCACATTAATGTCTCGTTAATTATAGTGACTATTTCTACATTATTTACAGAGCGTTACAAACGTTAGTAACATTTGTACGTTTCCAACTGACAATGGAGATGCTTCACTCGCCACATTCGAGATTCGTGGTCGTTGTTGAGGTCGTGAATTCAATGTAAAAACTCGCGATATATGTTTCTTAAGAACAAATTGTTATACGAGACCGTGTTATACGACCATGAAACGCGAATATCTGCACCGTATGGGTTTCTCGGTAAGGATGGATAATGAAGGGTGACGCGCAGTAGGGATGACAGTGATGGGTGAAGCATCTGGAACACAATAAATTACATCAACTGCAGCCACAACATAATCATCATCATCATCTTGGACAACATTCGTCGTTTCGCGATTCCCAGCGGGACGTCGTCCTTTGTTAACCCGTTGCCTCACGGGTTTCCTTAACATCTAACTTACCTCACTATCTTCCACAACCCTCTCGTTGCCGAGTCTCTCGTAAGGCAACGGGTCGACATTCGCCGGATTCCTCGCTCGATCGATTGCCGTCTCGAGCCGAGCGCGTTCTCGAGAACGGCCGACGAGGCCGTGTGTTACGTGATTGACAAAAAAAAAAAAAAACAAAAAACAAAAAAAAAGAATTTAAAAAAATCGAAATATTACAAACTCGCGCTACTTTACAGGGAATATGCTACAAGTATTCGTATATAGACTTTGGAGCGTTTCTCGATTTCTGAGCTCGTTGGCTCATTGGAACGCATCAGTGGAGCGAGTTCAGCGACAGCGGCGGCGTGATGGGCGGCAAGTGGTCACCGCAAGTCGGGAAGTTCGGAGGTATCGGCGGCAGGTCCGCGTGTGTTCCCACGTGTAGGATTAGATTCATGCCGACCAATATGTGGAACAGGAAGTGACAGTGGAACAGCCAGTATCCTACGAAGAAGGATACGATATTTTATCGTTTTGAGTCGTCACTCATGATACGTAACAAATTAATACGTAATAAATCTTGTTATGTATTACAAAATGCATTATTATTTATATATTAAAATAAAATTTCTTTTCTTTTTCTTGTAAATAAAATTCTGTCTGAAATTCTGTGACAATTTTACTTTCGAATGTTATTTTTTAAACAGATTTTCGGAAGACAAGCTTCTATTTTGGTTTTACTTGAAGATGTTCATGAAAAATTGATGCTGAGTCGTCAGAAGTACGTAGTAATTGATATAAACTGAAATACAAAGCGCAAGTCGAATGGTAGGTGTATGCAAATTGGTCATGCAAAACTTTCGCAATTACGAGAGCAGCTGCGAACGGAAGCAGTTTGCATCTCATCAGACTTGCGGCGCGTGAAGTTTTCAATTGTCACTGTTAACTTACCCGGATTATCCGCGCGGAAACGGAAGATGACATAACCGTTGTTGGGGACGGCGATGGTGTCCTTGGCGGGGGGCTGGTTGAATTGTCTGTGAAGGAGACCTTTCTTGTCGAGATCGAGGGCGTGCTTCAAATTGATTTTCTTCACGTTCCTGTCGGGAGAACGACCGATACCGACCACGTTAAACGCATATCCGTGCAAGTGGAACGGATGCGACAGGTTGGGCTGTTGTACTGTAACGGATGAGAGAGAATTAAAACCGATGTTTATGCAATTTTATAGAGTTAGTGTAAAAATTAAACAGTAATTAAAGGTATTGAAAAATTTTTAATTAAATTAAATATTTTCACAAGAGTATATATACAGTAGTTTTTGCTTGCGCGTTTTGTTTTATTTGACGCAGAACACGCAAAGACAACATAACTGTCATAGCGAAAGCGGACATACCTTCATCTACGAGAACCACCTCGACAACCGCATTATACGGAATGTCGACCTGATGCGTGCACATGCAATTGGCGCCGCAATCAGCCGGTCTGTTATCACCGTTGCAGAATTGTTCGGGAGGGATGTCATCGATCTGCGAGAGCGGCGGCGCCGGAGGGAACGTGAACGAGATCTCGTCGACGAGAGAAATCACATGGTCGCCGGTCGGTGCAACTACGGACACGTCGCGCAATAAATCAGAATGTTGTCAATACTCGCGCGAACAAAGTTTCAAAGTTGCGCGAACAAATCGCGAGATCAAATTATCTTCACGGAAACATCAAATCACTCAAAAAAAAAAAAAACAGACGGTAATTTTGCAACACCTTGTATATGTTTTGATCAAAACAAACCGGTTTGTATTTTCCGCGTTATTAAATCTAATTGTCTCTTGTGGAAGAAAAAAAAACGGCACTTGTATAACAAGTGTATACTTCACGAAGTACAGCGCGTAATCCTTGTAGTTACAGAAATTGCCGAAGATGTTGCATGCGGCGATGCGCACAACTCTCTCGCATATATCCCTTTTTAAACACACGTTTCTAGGGATAATCCGAGAAATGCCGTGTCTACGTCGAACAAAAATTAAACCCAATCATAACATCGCTTCTTGTTTTGCGACTTAAACCGATCATTTACGCTCATTAGCACGTTCTTACCGAGGAAGCGATTGTAGGTCTGCGGTTGGAAGACCTCTTCTGGTCTGTAAAACAGGAAGCGGAACGGCAGGAAGATCTTCACGTCGGGGCGTTGCTGCAGAAGACCCTTATCGACGGGGCGGGCGTTCTTCAATTGACTCACGCAAATCGCATCATCGCGCGGTCTGTTGCACATGGCATCCAAGGGATTAAGTACCTGAAGAAGAAACGCTTGAAAGTTCTTGTACGTTTCTTTGATATACGATAGCAAAATGAATCCTTTTTTCGAGAAGAAATCAGGTTGTCAATCCACAAGAAAGATTTTGCAATATATATTTATCTCTTTAAATGTAATATTGACAGTGTAAAGGATATTGTTTATTTGTAATTATAAAATTGCCTGTCATCTCTCTTCATTTTTGCTAAACGCTACAATTTTTCAAGTATTTCTTTTAAATAGTTTTAGAAAAAACTTAATTTCAAAGAAGAAACTTCATTAAACAGAAGAAATGCTTTTTTCAAAATAGCGCGATGTTTCTAAGAGTTAAAAAAATAATTTATATATCTAATGAAGATTAAGAGAATCTCTATTATATCGGTTGAAGATAATGTTTAAAGTTTTCTCTCACTTTTTTGAATTTTACATGTGAATTATATTAAAATAGAATCGACGTTTTATATTTTACTAAGGTATATAAACGATTATTTAAATAGTTATTAAGTTATATCTTCTCTCCGAGTTTTGTGTGTAAGTGTGTATCACAAGTTTCTTTCTGTCTGAAATAATTGAACAGATGGCAGTACATGCCGAGGTAAAATTTTACAAGAATTCAAAACCGCATGAACATTGTTTATGCAGACTTGATAAAAAACAATTTTATCTTATCTTAAAATTTGATCGCAAGGAAATATACTACGAGAACAAGCCTAATAATTCATAAGGTAGGAGGTAAGATATATGCTTACGACGCCCTGTGGAAGACCGTAGTCGTACGTAGGTGGTGCAGTAGATGGCTGATAAGGACCACGAGCGTATCGCAGAATGGCCAGCTGCTGGGCACGTGAATTTCCACATTCTCCGAGAGAACGAAGTTGGATCCAATAAGCGCCGACAGGCTGATCGGCATTTATGACGAAATCGTAACGTTCACCTATTGAAGTAACGTTAAATTGTAGATGACATTTTTTTTGTCGCGTCAATTAACAATAATTGCGCTTGACGGAGCTGTGAGAATGATATTTTTAATCGATCCAAGAGTTAATTAAAATGATTGTTTAATTACTTAAAAATCTTAAACTCTCCCACGCGTTTATTTAAGTAACATATATTTAAGTTCGAATAGTTTGACTTTACCTGAGAATGATATTATAGTGTTCACTTGAACTGGACGCACTGATTCACCATCCGTAGCAATAAGTGTAAGAGTGTGGCCTTCGAATGATATTTGCGATGGACACACCGATCCGTACGAATTAATCAAACGGAATCTGTAACGACGACCCGGAGTTATCGTGAACACTTCGAGCGGTGTATTCGTCATGAAACCGGTATTAGGATCCTGAAAAAAAAACAAAAAAACAAAAATACGAGACATGTAGAAAGACACAAAGAAAATATAAAATTGTAACGTATATTTGTCATATTTTTTCTTTTTTTTCTACGATTTGTGTAGCAAAATCTAATTTCCGAATTGAAAACTTTTTTCTGTACGATTTCAAAATGTATCTGTTTTGTTCGGAATAATATCTCTTTGTTCAAGATCGATTAATATTCTAGATGACGTACCCTGAATTGACCTTTTCCATTGATCAGCGCGCTCTCAGGTGCTTGACCGGTGTTGACTGCGAGGCGACCCGGATAGCGCTCGCTAGCGCTCTCGTGGAACCAGTCGCTGATGAGTACCACGTGCGTGGTTAAATCATAGTCATATAGATTGCTATTGGGATCCTTGCTGGGAGGCTGCCGGATTATTATACTTCCGTAGAGACCGTCTATCTTTTGCAGACCGGTGTGAGCATGCCAGAAGTGAGTGCCCTCGTTACCGGCCGTCCACTGATACCTTGATTTACATCACACACACACACACACATATGTATATATGTATAAGCCATTTTATTTTATTTATCAATCGTGATGTGAAATTCACGCGAAATGCGACACAAAATGGAGCTTTAATTTCATAAAATATTCCGATAAAGTCAGATCTCATTGTAAATGTTTCATCGAAATATCACAAGTTTTTAAATGTTTTTTTTTAAACACACTTTTCAAAATGTTTGAAACTTTTTCTCAAATTAAGGCAAAATTTCGATATATATTTCTGATTAGTATACAAAAGAATGTTGTAGGTTTTCTTTTGCATAATTTTGTGACAGTAAATTCAACAATCTCGTGCTCACCTGAACGTGTTACCCTCTTGAATGGGACACTGCGTCACGTACGGTACGCCATCGTAATACTGAGACCCTCTCTGCCAAACGCCGTGCCAGTGAATAGTGACTTCCATTCCCTCCATGTGATTTTCCACGTCGATAACGACTTTATCGCCCTGACACACCTGTATGCTCGGTCCGGGAACCATTCTGTTCGCGGTCAGAATACCTCGCTCCACTCCGTCCGCCAGGACGCATTGACATTCGCTCCATATCGAATTGGTTGCGTTTGGTGTGCACACTTGACACGCTCTAAAAATTTTATAGCAAGCTGCAATCCGTGTAATCGGAAAACATTAAAATTTCTATACATATGTGATAGCACAAAATGTTCAGCCGTTTTCTGTCACTACAAATATTTAAAAAAAAAATTGACGAAAAATAATTCCGTGTATTTCTCTTCAAATATCTCGTACAATATGCACTTACGCTCCAAGTACGGTGTAATACTCGAGCGTAAAGTGGTAGTAGCATATCCTGGGCGGTTCATTTTCACGACAGGCGCGAGCGCACTCGTCCGGCGACGAGAGCGATGGATTTCGGCGTAATTCTGCGGTGGCGCGCTCATTATAATCGAGAGGCCGCGTCCTTGGCGGCCTTATTGTCACTCCTCGACTACCGAGGTTGTCGATCCCGCCGAAACCACTGCGAAACGTTGCGCTGCTGGCCGGATGAGTTTGCACCAGGCCATGAGCCGTGGGGAAATAGGTCGCGTCCTGAGTGAAAATATCGGTTTTGATGGTGGGATTCCAGAAGGAGGCTGAAACCGACTGATCTGATGCCGCCGCGACTTGATCTGCAATAAAATATACACAATATTTTTAAATAAATATATTTTATAAACAAAAAGAGTAGAGTGAGAAATGATTACAATGTGGAAATTTTTTCAGTGCAAACTGACAAATGCGTAAACACGTGCAAAGCAATTTGTTAATTAGGATAATTTTCACGAGTAAATAATCCGATTGAAAAATACAATTTCAGAATAATATTAGAAAGGAAGTAATAAAAAAGCAAACTCTAGAATTCTTATATTTCGGGAGTAATTACGGCACAATAAATTTCCTGCTTGCAAAATGGTTAATAAATTTCTTGTTACTGATTGGGAATTTTATGCGATTCGCGTGGCACGTATCATTACTCCGTCGTAAGTTACGAGCTGTGTCGTAACTGTATCATTACGAGCGCTCTTTCTGCTTCTATTCTGTCATCGATCAGCCGTGCGAGCATACACGACGCAGAAGAAGCAGGAAAGGTTTTAGACTCGTTACGTGTAGCAATCCCGTTCCAATATTTCAATGTTCATCGAGAGAGTCGCAGAAAGCAAGTATCCAAAATACGAAGACACATTCAGGTTTTTGAAATCTCGAATCTAATGAGAATTTCTCTCGAGACTTGTGTGTGTGTGTGTGTATGTATGTGTGTACATGTAGCTAGAAAGAGAAAGAGAGAGAGAGAGAGAGAGAGAATTTCTCTTGGTCTTGTATGTAGCTAGAGTAGTCGCTTAATATTCATGCATTCGCGGTCGATCGATCGTAGCTTAGAAAATTATTCCGAAACAGTATCGGTCGCGCGTGGGCGCGGAGCGGAAATGATTTTTCAAATCAAGTAGAAAGCTGAGGTTTTCAATCGGCATAAGATCTGTGGCTTAATAAGCACAATTTTAAACAAGTACAAAAAGTGATAGTTGCGACAGTGAGATGGTATTAAGTTTGTTCTATTTTGCGCACGTGCAGAAAAAAAAAGATTGGAGAAAAAAATTTCATAAAACCAATATTACGCGATCATCTTCCGTCGACAAGACGCTAATCTGCCATTATATAACGATCTGATCGATTTATTTACCACGGAATTCCTTGATTTGTATCGAGACAAAAAAGGGAAACCTATTCGCGCATTGTAGTCACGTTTGAAGTTAGCAACGGCATGCAGCGATAGAATGCGCTATTAAAGATCGGCCGCCGCTGCTCAAGATTTATCTTGAGGGATTTTTCAACTATGACGTCTAATATTTCATGCTTTGTACCGGTTGATCTTAATGCTTGTTCGGATAAATGTACAATGAAAAACGACGCAATAACATTCTACTTAATATTACGTAGAAGGTTTTAGATTTATTGTACGATCTCCGCTATAACGTTATGTTAATTCTGACTTTTTTTTGAGAGAGAAAATATCCCGAAATAAACACGCAAAATGATGTGTAATTTATCTTTTGATTTTAATGTCTTTTCTTTTTCTCACAAAAACAAAACGCAAAGCTTGTACAACGCATTAGTTCTACATTGAAAATGCGTACAAAATAAAAATCATAAATTTATATATTTTTTAAAATAAAAAATACACACTCGATATTATAATATGCATTGATATTATAATATATCGCGTATGTCATTAAAGATATATAAATTGTGTTTGAACGCAACGTTTCACAAATGTGAATGTCGCAAATTAGCGACCTTCGTCAATAAGTAAAGAAAATAACGATTTCTCATAATAGCAGCAAGAAAAGTTCGGCGCCGTAAATGGGAGTTATCCGGAACACAACTCTGTACTTTTCTTCTGTGACTACGGTGGCACCGACATCTCCTTTTGTTCATGCGCTCAGGCGAAACTGTTTTCTGACAGACTTTTTTGCCTCTATCAAGAACTACTTTTCTCCGACGTATAACGATCTCACAGTATCTCCGCGCCAATGAAAGGGAAATTGTTTATCACCGTGAATAATTTTTAATCATATGCTTCTGTATACACGCATATATTACATGTTTAATTTGAATTTGTGTTACTTAAGTATTTTAAAATCTTTTAGACATTTCAAACATACATATTCAGAAAAAGTTATGCAAATTGTTTTTCCAATAGGAACGAACATTCCACTATAGTAGTCAATGACATAAACTATTCCGAATTGTTTTGAACCGGGATTCATTTTATGATTACGTGGATGACTTGTTGAACGCATTCCGCTCTACAATTGCTCGTATTTCGAATCCCGCGCAATTGCATCGCGGCACAACGCAGATAGCTCGTTAATCTTTTTTTTCTTTTTACCATCGGAATTGTTACGTGCCACGAGGCAACGAGTGACGTAACGAGCACACATTGGACTATTCCCGCATGGCTTGTCGTCCGATCGACTACGTCGATCTGGTGTATATACTATCGAAGTCGGAGCGACGTTTTCCGGCGGCAAGCGTAGGTAATGTTCACCGCGAGAAATGCCATTTCGGACTGCCGAATGATTTATATCCCGCGATGAAAGTCGCGCACCGTAGCCGCGTTTCGACACCACACAATCGTCTAATGCCGATTCTTCGAAATTTTTCCGTCCGCCCACGGAATAACGTCGACTTATTACCAGTCAGAGTTCTGCGTAAGTTACGCCGTTCGAATATTTCTTTGCTGACGTTTTTATCGGTTAAACGAGTTTACGAATTTTACTGCTGGTCGATGGCATTTTGCTGTTTGAAAAAATTTTTCAGGTTAATATAAAATAAAATTAGTTTTTTTTTTTTTACAAGATATTCTCTTTACGATATTTTTTCATGTTTTGACAATGAAATTTCCGCGCTGAATCTTATTTAACAAGAGAGAAAGCGAAAACAATGTTGCAAAATATTCTAAGAAAATATCCACTTCAAAAGACCTGATTGTAAGAAAAGTTCGCGAACCTTCCTGTCGAGAGTGGAAGGTCCACTTGCGTGTCCGGCGGGAACCGTCACGCGGATGCCCGCCGTGACGACGACAATGAGAGACGACGGCGGCGGTGAGGCAATGTCGTGCTAGCTCGGTCGCGTCATTTAGAGCGGGTGCATAACGCGGGCGTGTAATGGGTCGCCCTCACGACTCGCCGTAGTTCATTATATCGCGCGGGATGGGTGACGACGCTGTCGTAAGACAAGCGCACACAGTCGCCATAAGCGCGGTTGTGCAAGAAAAAAACAATGAATTAAGTAAGACAAAATCGCGCTTTCACGGTTGCACCGCGCCGCGCTCTTTTCGCGCGGCAATTAATTCGTCGCACTTTTATTTTTTACGCCTGTCGCGATTGCTCGCCCGGAGGTTGCCGAGGTAACATCCGACCGGCCGACTTGTTTTTGTCCCTAATCGTTTTATTATTTTTTTTTTTTTTGCTGACGAAACGTGCGACTTCCGTGAGTGACGCGCGACTTACGCAATATCGGAAGAACATCGATTAACTAAGACAATTTCGAGATGCTAACAAACTTTTGCGGGCTCTCTCTTAATGTCAATATAAGGATAGGAGAAGCACATGTAACTCATACACGTCTCTCCATTAAAATAAACAATGCTGCACGCTTCGACATGAAGAATTTCAAGGGGTTTTCAGAGAGTTAATTAACTCTATTGCAACTCTCAGACTTTCCCGTGAGAACGCTGATTATATTTAGTCCGACGTCAAAAAATGTGTAATTGCACAAAACGCACGCACGTGCGATAAAACAACTCACGGCGCAACGTGCAATTTACATAATTTTCTTTTCCGCGTACGATTTGCTTTTAATTTTTCCTCGCGGCATGGAGAAAATCGACAAAAATTCTCCCTGAATGTGACGAATAATCGGAGGTGAAAGCATTCGGAGAAAATACGCTGTGAGCATTCGTAAGAATTAAATTTCCGAGTCTCCTTTATCTTTGACATTGTATTACACAAATTAACTTCGAGTCTTTCGAGGAAGAAACTTTGTTGTCGGTTGATTAAAATTCACGAGCACACAAGTTGCGGCTGACTTTTCGATCGATTCGCACGTCAAGTCAGCGCTTTCTTCAATCATATCGTTTCCTCTCTTTCATGCAGCATGACGTGCTGTTTAAAAAAAAATAAAACGAACATTGGCGAGCACGTGATTAAGTTCGCACGTGACGTGATCCTCAAGACACGTTGGTTGGGACTCGGACCCGGTAATTATCTTGACATCTCGCTTAACGTCTCACTTGAACAGAAACGCCTTTCGACCGACACAATTTCAAGTATTTTTCACGATTCCGTTTTTTTTCTTTTTTTATCGCTTCTCACATCTCGACAAAGTCGGGTCAACTTTCCTGCATCGGAAGAAATATTTTGACGTCAGGTGCGCGCGCGCGCGAAGTGTCCGAGAGCGAAAGAAGTTTCGCAACTGTCTTGAAACAAGACGAAAGTTAATACAGTTATGCGGAAATTTGCAAACGCATCTCCGATTGTAGTGTCGTCATTTAATACAATTTCGATCGCACAAATACGAATGCAATTTGCCGCCGATATCAGAAGCCACGCTAAGGCGAGGCGTAATTAGTTCTCTCGCGCGTTATCAGATTACTATAAATGCAACTATAAATGTCAAACGAGACACGCGATATCGCAGTAGCTAAAAAGCTCCGGTATCAGATGTTATATTCCCGATATACAAAGTGAAATAAACATAATTGAATCGAACCGCGCGTGAACTAATTATCTTATTTTATTTTATTTCACGTGAGATGTGACTTTTAATCTGGCTAATTTTTTTTTTAGAAAAGAAAAGAAAACGCGACCGCAAAGGTTGACAAACAAACAATAAAACACGCGAGGAAGTGAGAGCGGAATCCACAAAGCTGCGCGATAAAAGTGCGACTTTCCAGCGGTTAAACGTTCGCGTGCTAAAACGCAGAAAACAAAAATTCTCTCACAAGCTTTTCGCGCGCGTGTGTGTGTGTGTGTATTTACAGGAGTATCGATTTAGTGTGTCAGCGAGAACGAAAGTGTGCAAAAGATGATTAACAACTGAGCGGAAACGAAACGTGTTTACTCTCTAC